AGATGTTGGAAAAGACCTTGAAACGTCTATGTGACTGGGTTTTCTCATCTAGAAAACAGGGGTAATATTTCTCTCTGGCTTACTTCATAAGGCTGTTGTGAAGGAAAACTGAATATATCAATGATGGTTCAAAGCCGGCCTGTACTTGTACAACTTCCCTTTCTAAACTGTGTTATATTCTGTACCGTTGGATACACTAATAACATTATCAGTAGAATTACCTGATGCCCCAGGGAGATGATTGATAATATTCTCTGTCATAAAATGATAATGATAAAGGAAACCAGAGGCTTACGTGAACCATAGGCAAGTGAATGGATTTGGGGCTCGCTCTTAATTCTAGCCCTAATCCAAGAACAATTAGTTCTTAGGATGTGGCCCTGCTCTATGCTCGCCCTCACGGAGGGGTCACTGAAGACAGTGCCACAGTAAAGTGTGGTGTGGAAGCAGGTGATACCCCACTATCAATTGGAATAGTGTCAGGGGTCTAAAAGGCTTATATTCAAGCAAGCAACTAAGTCCACATGGGAGAAGCACACCAACTGGTGTGATCCGAGGTTGATAAGTGATAAATCCAAATCTGGAGGAAGGAATGGCATAAAGCTTAAATTGTGAACACGGAATTTGCAGAGGGCTAGGGATGACAGTAAAAGCCCCAAATCCAGTTGCTGCAGGGTCCACACAAGAATCCATCCTTTAGTGAATCCCCTCTGACCATAGTCAAAGGATGAGACTAGTGAATAGCCGTGCTATCAGATTGTCTTGTCAACCCGGCTATGGCAGTTGTAATTAACGTTTAAATGTAAGACCTGGTCATTTGCTCTCCCTTGGGGCCCATTTTTAATTTGTTCTTGTTTTTAATATTTTTTTGCTATTTTCTCAATCTAGTTTGTTTCTCTATTGTTATTGGGGTTAGGGGAGGGGAGGTTGGAGGGAAATGAGCTAATCATGAATATTAGAAAGAAGATGCTGAAAACAATTAAAAAAATAAAAGACTGGTGAAGAAGTAAACAAACAAACAAAAATAATCACATCTATTTATATGCTATGACCTATCAAGGAATTCTGTCAAAAACTACTTTGAGTTTCAGAACACCTGACCCCAAACTCGTATTTGTGCGGTCATTACAAAACTGGATGAGTTCTTTTTTTAGTGGGGGGAGGGGAGTGGGGCGGAGTGGGTGGTATTTTTCAGTATTGGGGATCAAATGGTAATATGAATTTCCAGTAGAGGAAACTCTCTGCTATTTAGATGTGAGAAAGGAGAATGAATACTAAAAATTCAAGTATTAAGTGTTCATCCCTGGTGGTGTAATGGTTATGCATTGGGCTGCGATCTGCAT